AAAGGAAGCCGTGTCCTGGAACACTGTCCCTGATCGCGCTTGATGGCTCTGAGTAATAAGTTTACACGCAACAGTGGTATATTAACTGAACTCTGCCAGGGATTCGTCACCCCGGCCTCAATGTACTTGAATCGTATACCAGCAAGATAAAGTCGAATAGTCGATTCTCGGAGGTGCAAATGTTTGTAGCAGTGTGTAATAAATAACAACAATAAATCCTCAGAAAGCACTGGTAAATTAAAAGTTGAACATGGTACATTGTGCATAGACAGAAAATTGGTAAAGAGGGCCAAGCCAGAGTCATACACCTGCCTTGTACTATGTGATATTGTTGCACTCCACAACTCACGCACTTCAATCCCTAAATAAGTGTTACTTTGCAAAACGGTGGACACAGTGTCTTGTTCAGTTCTGCCTCTGGTGCCAGACTGTGGAATTTCTGCAATTGAAAGCGTGATAAAGCATCAGCAATAGAGTTCTGCCTGCCAGGAACAAACTGTGCCAACACAATGAAATTATGTTTCATGGCCGTTAAGGTTAAGCGGCGCAAGAGAGCATTAATAGAGTGGCAATGTGATGAAGCTCTTCCTTTCCTCAACACATGAACTGTTGTCTGGTTGTCACAGTTAAAGCGAATTCTCTGTTGAGACCAATGCCTTCCCCACAGCATTGCCGCAATTACAATAGGATAAAGTTCCAATAACGCCATTCAGCCGTCCAATTGTTAGGGTTTGAGGCATCAAACGTTCGCGATCTCGATAGTTCGTTGACATCGCCCAAGGCGTTATTTGGTAAAGAAAGAGATCGATGGCGACCCCTACCACGGCCTCGACGACTTGATTTTCTCCTCGTGGCCGGCAACACTGGCTCTGTTGTTTGGGGTGCAGTAGGCACTCCACGTTTACGACCCCGTCGTCTGGTATTAACTGTAGAATTCTCCATCGTGCGAAAAGTTGGTGTAAATTCGTACAGAATCCAGAAATAAACTTCAACTTGCAACAAACATAACCGCTGACGCAGATAAAACTGAGAAACTGATGCCAACACGAGATTATGCAAATCACCGTGTGATCATAAATACAGTCTAACATAAACATTAGACTCCCATGTATTTTACACGCGTTGTATACGTCGCTATGAGTCCCATATCGAACAGAATGCGGCACGACGACTACTGCCCTTTAAACTTTTTTTTAAACAATTTTGTTTCACAAAGTAAACCCAATGGATTTTTTTTCTTATTTTTGACTCCCGTGTGCGAAGCACAAAAGGGAGTCTTTGCAGTTACCCTGTCTGTATGTATGTATGTATGTATGTCACTTTTTTTGTTCCACCGTTATCTCAAGAACCACTAATCAAATTTTGGTGAAACTTGGTACATAGATGCTCTGGGATAATGCGCAGAGTTGATTAGGTTTTGGTAAAAATCTATGAATATTAATTACCTAATTTGCATGATAATTAGCTGATTTTTAGCTGTTCCATGACTGTTCCACTGATATCTGAAGAACCACTCATTGGGTTTTGATGAAACTTGGCACATGGATGCTCTGAACTAGTGCGCAGATTTGATTAGTTTTAGGTAAAAATCTATGAATATTAATTCCTAATTTGAATGATAATTAACTGATTTCAAGCTGTTCCATGACTGTTCCACTGATTTTTGAAGAACCACTTATTGGATTTCAATGAAACTTGGCACATGGATGCTCTGAACTAATGCACAGATTTGATTAGTTTTGGGTAAAAATCTGTGCAATATTAATTATCTAATTTACATAATGATTAATCAATTTTCTGCTTT